CGCCTGGGGCGAAAGTTTTGTTCACAACCCAGCATTCTTGTGAAACATTCGCAACGCGAACTGCGGCGTTAAAACAGCAGTTAACAAACAAAACAAGTCAAAATTCAAGCATTGTTTTTAAGTAGCCCTGCTTTTTCAGACATCACACTTTTACTGCAGCGCACACGGGAAAATAGAAGCGAAAAAAAAATTTTTCAGTGATGGTTAACAATATAATTACGGCTCAAATTGTTTTTGAGGGTAAGTTTCTCAGGACCGACGCCGTCTGCCCGTGGCAGACGAAAAGGATCGCATTTTGTGATTTCGGAAGGGTAAGGGGCCGTACTTAGCGAAGTGGGGTTGCATGGAAGAATTACGAAAAAAAGACACGTAAAAATTAATAACACCTAGGGAACTCTTGGAGATTTTGATTGAACATCTCGGCAAAACGCCATCCCACGGCCTACAATTATAACTCCTAACCATTCCCCGTCCACTCTTAGGACCTAAAGTTGGAAGTATGTAAGGTTGAGGCAGGTTCAACACTATCGACACCGCGATACCGAAAAGGGAGGTTGGGGTCGTAGAAAACGGATAAGTGTCAAAGCATTATCACTAGTTACCATGGATGGACTTAGGGTTCGAACAGTGGGTGGCACTGGAAATCCATCTTCAGACTTCGCCTGAGCAAATCCGAGACGAGCCTGTCCGACGTCGAAAATGGTATAGTATCTGAAATGGATAAAATTATGAGGGCGAACTTTGGCGCTGTCAGCTGTCAGTACTGCAGTGCTTCTGAAATAGTACCTTCCAATGAACACGTCACCAAGAATCCACAGCTCTCCAACTCGTTCCGGTAAATCCATTCCCATAAAGCCAGACAGGCAAATTTCTTTGCCACCAGCTTTCACCTGCAATTCAATAAAGTGAGTGAGGAGTTCTCTCAATGCTTCAAAACTTATTACAGTACTGGACTTACTTTCAGTACGTAGTCGTCTCCCTTGAGAGTGAAGGTCTTGCCCTCGATGACGAATGATAGTTCCGGAAGGGTTGGAATTTTATCGCATGGAATCATGTACTGAAATGCAGCATTAAGTTTATTTTCAGCTCCAGCTCAGGTACGAAATGAATGAATCCGTTTGGGAATAGACCAGAAGTGGAGGTGAGCGTCAGCCAACGGTTAACATTAGGCCGGTGTCGGACTTTGCAAGTCAACGTTATCGCTAGCGAATCGATGTTTTGCTAACCAGGAAGGTCTTTCAGGGCGTGACGAAGCTTTTTGAAAACGGTCTTTTGCATGATATAGGGGCAGATGCGGGAACCACAGAACCATGTTTAATTTTTCCTGAACGGCCCTCTGAATACCAGAAAAGGGGGTCCCTAGTTCGATTCCTCGTGGTGACAAATTTTTGCATTTCGAGTTGACGTTCTTCGTGTTGCTGTTGCTTCTGGTTCTACTT